TTATACGCAAACAATGACTCATGGAACACTACATCAAGAACTAATGATGTAATGTATGGTGATTAACAGAACATAATAATAAAAAAAATAGAAAGAGGTCAGTCACAAAAAGGACCACCTATTGTATAATTCTATTGATACGAAATGTCCAGAATAGACCAATCCATAAAGACAGAAAGTAGAACAGTGGTTGTCAAAGCAGGTGAGGATGGGGAATGAATGATAATCAGTATAAGGTTTCTTTTTGGGATGATGAGAATGTTATAAAATTTTGTTCTGTTGATGGCTGCACAATTTTGTAAAAATACTAAAAACCACTGAATTGTAAACTATAAATGGGTGAATTTTATAATATGTACAGTATATTCCAGTAAGACAGTTTTTTAAAAGTGTAAAAAAAAAAACAAAATGGGCAACAAAAACTTTTTCACTGGCATTTGACAAATTAAAATGCTGATGTGACCTTCTAAGTTCCAAACTTCTTATATTTCCTTTTCTTCTAACCATACTCCTACAGTCTAGAACTCTTGCAATTTTCAAGCCTTTGATACCTCTATGCCACAGAAAATCTTTTTTGGTGGGGATTCTAGGAAATGCAACAAACCTAGTTATGTACCAAGGAAAGAAAAATTTATTAGAACCTGGGGCCACAAAAAAATTCTCCTACCAATGTGTAGAAAACAAACATCCAATCTAGATGTTTCTCAGCCATCAAAGAGCAAAAGTATCATTTATCCCCATTATTTTCATGTAAGCCAGGAGGCTTACATGAAAAGCACACTATGTTCCCTACTGATTTGATTTATGACTTTAAAAGATGTTCTCTTCTGATCTTTGGCCTTAAACATCTGGACATTTTTAAGTCTAGTCTTAAAAGACCTGAGTCTGGATTGGAAGTGCTCCAGAAAAGGTCCCCAGCCTATTTTTGTCTATATTCACTTGATTCTTTTCCAGCAATACTTTTATTTCCTTCTCATTTCAGACAAGACATAAATATAAAAAGACTATAGTTATTATTTATTAACACAGTTGCTGTATGCTTTCAGAGAAGTATAATAGTATCTCCACAGCTTCCATGTTTAAAAAAATAATCAATGAACTACTTTTGCAGCTTCATCTCCTGAACTATAGTGCCCTCTGCTGCTTGATGTTGATAAAGACCATTCTCTCAGGGAAAGGGAACCCTCTAAGTAACTTTGGAAAGCAACCTTTAAAAAAAAAAAGGACTCCTTCATTAAATGCTACAGAATTCAAATGACATAAAAACTTCATCTGAATAGATTTAAGAAAACATGCATGATACATATTTAATAAAGCATCTGTCCAAGAAAAAATTAAGTTTTAAACATACACACACACACACACTTACAAATGCTCTCTTGAGGCCAAGAGCTGAGGCGCCCACCGCACTCTCATATGAGTGAATATAAGAAGAATGGCGAGGAAGAGCCTAATTCTCTAGTGAAGCCGCATATCCATATCCAGCTGTGACACCCCAGGCAGCCTTGTCCTGCCCACAGATGCAGCCCCGGTGCCCGGCACAGAGCAGACACACAAATCGTGGCCGAATGTCAATGTTTTACCGGGAGATCCTAAAACTCTTTAGTCCTCAGCTTGAGGGCTTAGAGCCCCTCCCTCATCCCTTGTGCAAACACTACAGACCCCTCCTGCTTCCCATGTACAGGCCCTGTGGGTCAGTGCTGGAGGTAAAGATGCCAAGTATGTCTGGATTCCTGCCCTCAACAAACTCACCCTAATGGGGAGGAAAAGTAACAAATAAATACAATTACATGGACTATGATAAAATCTGCTTAGAGGAGAGAAAATGCCCATCATTTGAGACCTGTCTGGAAGAACTGGTACTTAGCATAGATTTCTTCGTAGCTCCAACATATGTGATTCTGATTTCATCAGGAAAATACTAATAAAACCACTATTTTATTTTTTTAAAAGTCTGCTTAGAGGGGAGGAAAGCAGAGGAAGAAGCACTCAATTCTACCAGGCGTGGAAGGATTAACAGAGACTTCACAGAGGAGTCTTAAAAGACACACAGCACTCACCAGACAAGCATGGAGGACACAGTCTGAACGAGGACACCAAGGAATGCAGCACTTTCTATGGGTGGTCACTCGAGAGGCAGGGCTGCCGCACACAGCCATGTAGGTTAGCTACTGTCTACAATGCAGCGGCCCTGCTAGAGGGAAGGGGTAGAGTCTTCTTTCTCTAATCTTACTCCTCTCCTCTATTACTTCCTGGAGTCCTTCTCTTGGTCACTTTCAAACATGAAAACTTATGTTACCTTATATGAAATCAGAGACACACCTTGCTCTTTCCAAAAATGCTTTGGCCTTGCTTCCCCTCAGTCCTGGCAAGCCCAAGTGTGGAATGAGTAGTACTGACTAGGCAGGAGGGGCGCCATCATAGTAGAAATGTGCACTCATCCACTCCTACTGGGCCTGCTGCTCTTCCAAACAACAGCAGGGCAACCCGCCAAGGAACTAAGTATTGGAAACTGTCCCCGGGGCCTCACCAACACAGATGACTTAAATGAGTGAAACACTAGCTATAACAAAAAGCAAAAGCAAACTAATAAAGTTAAACATTAGGCATTGTGTTAAACACTTGACATATCCCAAGACAAAGGAATGTTACTACTCCCTCTTTAAAGACATGGAAACTGAAGCCCAGAAAAAGAAAGAAACTCCCATATCACAGAGCTAGAAAAGCCCCCAGGGGAGTCATGAAGTCTCCAGAGCACTAGGCATGTGACACTGTGGTAGAGACTCCCTCAGGGGATGGACCCAGCCCACAGCAGTGAGTGCCACAAGGAACACTGAATCTGCCAACTTCAGGCACTCACACATTACATGAGGACTGTTGGTGGCACACTCCAGCCCCAAGAGATAATTCCAATCTTTCTATCATCAGGAAGGAGAACTTCTGAGAAGGTCAAGAGTGAGGCTCACCAAGGAGCTAGGTGCTAGGCAGTGGATCTACCGGTGATAGAAGCCTAAAAGGTTCAGCTCTGCTCCTGGGAGTAATGGTTTTGAGGAGGTACCCTCTTTTGACCTTTCTCTTTAGATTGGATTTCTTGAGTTCTTGGAACTGGTTTCCCAGTACAGGAAGTAGTCCCCTCTGTATAGCACAGGAAGAGCCCCAGAGGCTGATCTCTGGTCTATAGGGAAGGTGTCTACCTGGAGCTCTGTGTTCAAAGCTCCAGAGCATTCATTCAGGAACTAGTTCCCTCTGTATAGAACAGGAAGAGCCCCAGAGGCTGATCTCTGGTCTACAGGGAAGGTGTCTACCTGGAGCTCTGTGCTCAAAGCTCCAGAGCATTCATTCATTTATTTAGAGGCCAGTCTAGAGCCTCCCTCTCAGTTCCGCAGGTGTCAGAGGAGGCCAGTGGTCAGGAATTCAAAGATGTGGGATCATGGCCCAATCTCTGACCCCAAAGATAAGCCCAAGAACAATTCTCTTATCTCTAGCAGCACCCCACTCTGATAATCCTAACTATACAAACTGCATGGCAGCCACACCCATACACTCCCTCTCCCTAATCCTTGCCCTCTTCCCTAGAATGCCACATGGTGCTTACTACCAAGCTGATGATCTAACAGAGCACAGAACAAAAGCCATCCCAGCAACAGCACCAAAGATGCAGACATCACCAACCTAAGCAAATGGCCATTCTCTAATCAAGAAGTCAAATATCCAAAGGAACTTACAACCCCCGGAGCCATTACAATAAGTCAGTGGTAAGGGAGCAATCTTTTAAAAGGGAAGGTTCTGATGCCAGGAAGGAGTGCTGATGGACACCTGGCAGGGAAAGGTCAATACTAAATAGCCAGAGATGACCACCCTGATGTCTGCCCTCTGCAGCAGGAGTCAGGCGCATTCTAAAACCAGTCCTGGGCGCCTGGGTGGCTCAGTTGGTTAAGCAACTGCCTTCGGCTCAGATCATGATCCTGGAGTCCCGGGATCGAGTCCCGCATCGGGCTCCCTGCTCGGCAGGGAGTCTGCTTCTCCCTCTGACCCTCTTCCCTCTCGTGCTATCTCTCATTCTCTCTCAAATAAATAAATAAAATCTTTAAAAAAAAAATCAAACCAACAAATTAAAAAAAAAAAAAACCAGCCCTGACATCAGTAAGATTACAAATCCGTTCATCAATATGGGATATGTAACACCTACCCTGAAAAATTTTACCTTGAGGATCACAAGGAAACCGTATTTCTTTATATATCACTAAAAATACCACGATATACTTTTCTGATCAGGTAACTACAGTTTTCAAGTGCTAATATACTTGCAGGCACACCAAGGTAGCAGCATTATAAACCAGTGCACGGGCTTTCTCTAATCAGGAGTCTTGGCGCAAATCAGAGTTGGAGGCCCAGAGACAATGCTGCGCACAGGACCCAAACACTTCCACAGAAGGGAAATACGGAAAGACAGATCATTACAATTAAAGTTTCCACTTTTCAATGTAATAACTGCTAAACTATTTTTGAAGGGTAAAAATGTTGCCCGCCCCCCTAAAACAGCCCAAATGCATTTAATATGTATCACTGAACATGTGCAAAGATTGCAGTAAATTGCTTCACAAACGCAAATTATTGCAATCAGCATCTTGTTTTCTAGTTCTAAATTCAAAGGCAAACTATTAACACAAGACTGCTAACTCTCGCTATTATCACACATCCTCCTTCTAACAAAACCACATTTCCAGATGGACTGCCAAAATTAGTCAAGTGACTCCTAAGAAATACTACAAGATTGACATGCCAGAAATTCACTTAGAAATGAATGCTTTATTTAAATAAAGGAAACATACACCCAAACACACCTTTCCTAAGGAAATATGAGCTGCTTTATTTACAATTCCACTTGAATTGCAACTCAGTGAAGGCATTCGCAGGAACAGTGGGACAGCTGGGCTGTTACCCTGTCAGTATTCTGACTAGTCCTCGGTGTCAAATCGGGCAGAATCAGGGGTGTGGTGCAGGCTGGGCCTGATTGGGGGATCCTGATAATAAATTCAGCAAAATATTTAAACTCAACTCAGACAAGTGATGCAGGAATTGTTGAGAGGGTGCTCAGCTCTGCGACCTAACTGGGTATTCTTTCCCGACTGCTGTGTTTACTCTGTATTTGACAGAACGACTAATTTTTTAAAATGTATCAATCAAGCAGATTAGATTATTCCAGTGCATTCCATCAGAGCAACCATTTCTGAAGAGCATAATGATCAGGTCCATGGCTCAGAACTAAGCTTTGTTTCAATCTACAAAACTCAAGGCAGCAATTTTCATATATGCTTGAGAGGGTCAAGGGCTCAGAACCAAGGTGAGCTCTGAGGCGAGGAAAGGAATCGGATTCTCCATGCCAAAAGAAGGCTCCCCCTGAATGGGAATGGTCTAGAATTCCTATTCCTCAGGAGAAACAGCTAGCCATCGTAGTCCTTCTTTTTGATAGCACCCTGAACACACAACACCAAGGAATCAGAAAAGCCACTTACCACTGGCCAGCTTTAAAAGAAAAGTCTTTATCAGCAACACGCAGGTGGAGCCTCTTCACTGATGGCGATTCATCAGCAGCCCCACACACCTTAGCAGCCGACACCATCTAGAGCCAAAAGATAAACTGCGGCTGAGGTTAGTGTGTCTACACATCACGAACAAACTGTGGCTTTCTGGTAACTAAGGTTTTTTTGAAAGCTACAAAGATGTGATTTTTGAAAATTACAAAACAAGGTAAAGCACACTCTGCTTTAAGATGCTGCCTACTACCTGCTGAACAAATTTAATTATCTTATTTTTGAGAGACTTGCTATCATATTAATTGAGTTTCATTCTGCATGCAAAAATCATCTCTTAGAGGGGCTGGTTTAATAGGTGTTTCTTTGCTGAGCATCTAGTATGTTCCACACACCAGGCTGGGTAATCTGGAAAGAGCCTGGGGGAACAGGAGCCCTGTCAACCACCTGCCTGGCAGGTGTATATATGACATACATAAACTGAAACCCACTGTTAGGTCCGAACCTGTGTTTGTTCTGAGCCTGCAAGAAGTCCATGACTCGCAAATTTCAGAAATTACAAGTAAGCACTTAGAAACTTTTTTTAGCAATTTCACAGAGTCTGTTGAATCTAATTATAGACAACAAATTGGGTTTGTATTCCGTTTTTGTTTTCTTTATTTTTTCTAATTCAGTGTTGATTGTATTTGACAAAACATAAACAGTCCACAACCTTTGAACAGTATTAAAAACGGCCCTTCGCTACGGATAGCTTAAGCAGCACTATTCTAAACAACGTATCTGGTTTCTAGAAAATCCTAAGGTGTGAGCTGGGCAGTCCTCTGTGTCGTCCACACCTCAGCATCCCTCAAATTCAAAATGCCTCTACTTCCTTCGTTTTTTGTTTCTTCTACCTTTGGGTTTTTCTTCCTCCTGAAATCTGGGACATTTTCACAACAGGGGAAAAAAGACAATATGACTCTTTCCTCAACCTCCGACTGCCATTCAACTCCACTTCTGGAGGCAAATGAAAGCAGTAGCAGGTGACCAAAACACAGTCATTCTCCTTGGATGGAGTTAGCTTCACGGCTCCACCGAAGGGTGCCTTGGAAAGCTGTCAAGATCAATGAACCTCACACCCTAAAGCTGGCTCCTTCAGCCCCTTTCTCGAACAGGACTAGGTCTAATCAAACTACCAGTGGGAGACCACTCTTAAAAACCCACTGCAAAGTTCTCCAGATGGATGGTGGTCTCCCTTATTGACTCAAAACATCTCTGAAAATGTCTTACCCTTCTCTTGCTCCCATAAAATCCCTTGCCTCTTCCTCTGGATTTTTGCCAGTCCTCTTTCTCCTCTCCCTGAGAGCAAGTGGGTTGGTTTCCACACCGACTCTCTTCCTGAGCCTCTGGTTCTAGTCTTGCCCTCCCTCTCTGAACCAGTGCTGCACCCACTCCCACCGGCCCCTTCCTTCGGGGTCACGGTTCCTCTCCTTAGACCTCCTGTTTGTCAGACATGTTACCTACTGCCATTCGCCTGTCCTAAACAGCTCAGCAACAAAATAAAAAGCAGCAGCATAGCATGGCTGCCAACAGCCCAGGCTCTGTAACCACACTGCCTGGTATGTAATCGTGGCCCCAGCACACACTTACCCGCTGTGGGACTCTGGGCATATTACCTAGTCCCCCCTTGGCTATAAAAAAAGATCAACAACACTTGTATCTCAGAGCTGCTGCGGGGGGGGGCGGGGGGGATTAAATGAAATACGTGCAAAGCACTTATAAGGCTGCTGGCTCATAGTAAATACCCATTGTCAGTTATAATATATCTTATTGCATTCATTATGATTAGCTTATTAATATTTACTACATTATATATTACACTTTATTCATATATTGTTATCTACGCAAAACCACCCCAGCGCTACCACACAGGACCTCAAAGACTGAGCACTGAACACCCCCGGGGGCCTATTCTCATGGACAACACTAAGGACCTGTAAAGTACAGTGGTCTCTGTACCACATCCTAGCTATTTGCTAGAACAAACTTAAAAGCCATACTGTCTTTAAGCTATTTTAGAAACCTTGCCTTTAATCTCTGCCTCTACTGATACTTCCTTATCCGACAGAATCTTCTCTCTGTCCTTGACCCTCTCAGTAAACACAGGTAACCTGGCTTCTGCTCTCCAGCAACAACTTCTAAGGTGGGTGGATGCCTGCCCGAACAACCAAACTCAAATGCCCAGGCTCAGGTGTCCCCCTCCCTGAGCTCCCTGCGTTCCATACTTTTCACTCCCTTTCCCTCCCTGGGATAGCTGACGTGGAACTTCCCGGGTCTCCTCCTGCCTCTTCAGCCTGGTCCTTGCTCCTTGACCTTTCCTCCTTGCACTTCCTCAACGGGGCGCTCTCTCTAAACTGCCTCACTCCCGCCCCCTCTCCCACCTCTAGGCCAAGGCTCTCAGGCATTCCCAAAGCTAACCCCACCCCAACTCATCAATTACTTTTCTGCCAATCAGACCCACATCTACGCTCTCCTATGAGTGACAAGAGCCAATGACTGAGGAGCCTTTATCTCAGGTATATTCCAGGTGCGGGCTTAAGGGTCTCATGTACACCAATTCATTCAGTTCATATGAATAATCATAGTATACCCCAACAGACGCTGTTATTATCCTCCATTCTGCACATGAGGAAACAGAAAGGTTTAGTAACTTGCTCAAGAGCACTCAGGAATGGCTGAGTCAGGATTCAAACCTAGGTGTGCCCTTAATCACTTGATAGTCCCGTCCCAATGGTAAGCTCACTTATGTGTCCAACTAAATCTACCATATTCATCCCTTCCACAAACATTTCTTCAGCATGTGCTGCCTGGCACTGGAGATGCAGAGATGCAGAAGACTGCTCCTGCCCACAGGGAGCCCCACAGAATCAGATGCTTTCCATCACCAGGATTTCCCTTCAGGACTCATCTTGGACTCAAGAGAGTCAAATCCATTTTCAACTGGTATAAGTGTACACACACACACGCACAGAGAATCTCTGACTCTCTTCCAGGCATCCTGTCCCTAACGTGAACAAGTTCCACAAATTCAGCTCATGTCTTTTCCTCCCCATGCTCACCCTCCAGCATCCTAAGCCAAGAATTTCTTCTCACTTGAACTGCTGCCTTAGCCTCCTTCTTGTCTCTCTCAAAGCAGCCAACAGGTAAATACTGCTAGTATTCTGACCTCACTGAGTTACCCTCTAGCTCAAAAACCTTCAAGGGCTAACATTCAACTTGGGAAAAAAAAAATGCTAAAAGGCCTTCGTAGCTTGACCTCTCCTATATCCCTATGCTAGTGGTTTACCAGACAAACTGGACAATTTGCTGGTTCTCAAAGGCACCTGACATTTGCCGGCCTCCCAAAACCCTGCCTAGGTTATTCGGCACGCACCACACTCTAAACCCTGTCCATCAACCTCCTACCCGCCCTTCCAGGCCCTGCTCCAAGACTAATCCCTGCCTGACGTTTTCCTGCTTCTCCCTATCCTCTCAACTCTACCAATAAGATGTTTGTCTTCTTATCATACTTAGCACATATTAATGTAACCATCAATCCTCATGAACGTGTCTCTTCCACCACACAAGACCACAAGCCTCCTGAGGTCAGGTATAGGGTAGATTCTACATCTGTATCAACTCCCTAGATCAAGCACAGGGCTCGACTCATGGCGAAGATTCAGTAAATATTTGCAGCATAAATGAAAACTCTAGTTTAAAGTCACTTAAAAGTTAGTTTCCTGAACAAAAATTAGTAGAAGTTCAGGAGACTTTTGTTATTTAAGAAGAAAAGGAAGGGTAGGGGTAACCATTACAGAAAATCTAGATTCACGCTTAATACTGTGAGAGAGATAAGGGAAGGTGGAATTTCTTCAGTAGATCAGGACTCTTCCTTCATTTTCCAGACACTCTATTTTAAAGATTTTTTATTTATTCATTTGCCAGAGAGTGAGAGACAGAGAGAGAGAGAGAACACAAGCAGGGGGAGGGGCAGGCAGAGGGAGAAGCAGGCTTCCCGCTGAGCAAAGAGCCCGACTCGGGACTCAATCCTAGGACCCTGGGATCATGACCTGAGCTGAAGGCAGACGCTTAACCAACTAAGCCACCCAGGCGTCCCGCCAGACACTCTATTTTAAATATCTTATTACAAAAACAAGTAATAAGATTCATCAGAGGACTCTCCATTATGTTATTACTCTCATTTTTCTTAGATTTACCAAAAAAAAGTTTATTTTATAAACATTCATTATTTTCCTTCAACATAATAATCTGTAAAAACATAGCCAAGAGCTAGATTATTTCATTTATAACAGTTTAACTGGCATCTGTCAGATTCATTGATAAAACTAAATAGCTTTAAAAACATCCTCAAGAGTCACCTGGTGGCAGGGAAACCAACATTCACAATCACTGAGGGGGAGCCAGGCAGAGGGACACCGAATTTCAGCTGGAAGGTGAGCATGCTTCACAATCAAATGCTGGACTGTGTAAAATGAAATCAACAACCATTTGCTAATGTTCAAAAACAAAATTCAATGAAGAAAGAAATTACACTTTTTTTTTTTTAAAGATTTATTTATTTATTTTGAGAGAGTGAGAGTGAGAGAGAGAGAGAGAGTACATGAGAAGGGGGAGGGTTAGAGGGAGAAGCAGGCTCCTCGCTGAGCAGGGAGCCCGATGCGGGACTCGATCCCGGGACTCCAGGATCATGACCTGAGCTGAAGGCAGTCGCTTAACCAACTGAGCCACCCAGGCGCCCAGAAATTACACTTTCTATTAAAAAGTCATATTTTCATTTAAATAGTCTCTATGGACAAAAATGTTCACAGGTGCTTTATGCTTATTGCTATTAATACAAACGGTAATACACCTGTTGTTATTAGTCCTAATAACCTGGGCAAAACTGCTCTAACAGGTCACACGAAGTATGTTGCACGATTCATGATTTTTAAAGACATGCCTTCCTATTAACACTTTATTTTATTCAATTAATGCAAATCTACATACTATATAAAGATTTCTAGTAAAGTGGATTAAAAACATTAGCAAAATCTTTTTGAAGGCCACATCT